GTGCTCAGGGGGGGGGGGAATATCACAAGAGGAAGTAAAGTCAGAGGTAATAGCATTAAGTAGAGAACATTAGCAGAAACAAAATATTTTATTTAATGCAAACTTCAGGCATATGATGGCAGGAAATAGTCTAATACCTGATGTGTTCAAGGGGTTAAAGTCTACTTTTTGGAAGTTGAAGTTATAAGATTTGGCATGAATCTATTCAAATAAAAGTGAAAGGCTATGGTAGTATGTTTTCACCATCTTTATGCTTGAATTGAAAGCACTCCAGTTGGTTTTAAATGCTGAAGCATTCAGTGTTTTGATCTACAGTCATTGCTCTTTCTTCCAAGTGCTTGCCAGCCAAATTTGGATCGATTTGCACGTCTGTGGAATTTTAGACTCGGAAAACTGCAGCCTGGCTGGCCGAGAAGCTGACCAAGGACGGTCATGCCGTGGCATTGTTGACCGGTGATCTGACGGTGGAGCAGCGGGTGGCCATCATGGACCGGTTCCGTGATGCCAAAGAGAAGGTCCTCATAACCACCAACGTCCTCTCCCGGGGCATCGACGTGGAACAGGTCACTGTGGTCATCAACTTTGACCTCCCCGTGGATCCCGAGGACAGGGATAAGGCCGACTGCGAGACGTACCTGCACCGGATCGGACGGACGGGGCGGTTCGGGAAGGCGGGACTCGCGATCAACCTCGTGGACGGGCCGCGCACTAACAACCTGTTGCGACAGATTGAGAAGCATTTCTGTGAGTTACATTTTATAGCTGCGTTCTGTGCATAATTCAGTGAGGTTGATGGTGATGGATTGTCTTCAATATCAGGGAAAACCATCCAGAAGTTGGATACCGAAGACATCGACGAGATGGAGAAGCTTAACCAGTGAAGTGTTTCATGGCTTGGACGAATTACACAAGCACTGGCACCAATTTCCTCAGAGAACTGAAGAGGATGTGATTATGAATTGAAGAGGCATTTTTTTCTACATCTGGCATGTGCAAAATGTATGGAACTGACTGGGAATATATCTTGCATGGTTTTTGTTTCTACCCTTGTGTCTTTTCTGTGGGTGAACGATGGATTACCAGTGGTCCTCAAACATTTTGATGCGAGGGTCATACGGATACTTTGGACCACCTTGAGTGGGCTGCATCAAACAAATTGCATGTTTGCCAAATTTCTGCAAAGCGAATCCTTCGACTCTCTGCTCCACCTTTGGGTCGAGCTGCTTTAAGCCAAGAAGTCTCATTCTATGATGAAAATGAGTGGGAGTCGAAAAGTGCTTCCACCCACATGTACATACTTCGACCCATTTCGATAATGGCTTCTTTTTTTTTCT